ACCCCACCAACACACTGCTGCTCTTTTCCCAGTGCTGATATGCACACACGTGTGCATGTTGTTCAGTGATAGATGTGGGAATGCCGCAGCTTAGAAAACACAGCTTTCTATTAGGTCAGAACTGGACAAGACTGAAAGTCTTTGAGCTGAAAATGTCACATGAATTCCAATCACATTACCCCCTGCCCGAAGACTTAATGAAGACACCTATTAGAATGTCATACTTCCTTGCTTGTGAATTTTGTAGAAAGTTTATTTGATATGTCTGAGTGAATTACCCACAGTCTTTGTGATAAGGAACTGCTCAGTAGACCGGAACCCTCAGTTCTACTTGGGGAGCACTTGGATATTTTAAACACGGCTGTGCTTTGAATAATTTCCAGGCAGAAACTCCTCTTCGGCAGGGCAATCTATTTTCCTCCACCAGCTTTAAGGTTTTGTCCTTGATGTCACATTGCAAAGTGTGTGCAACTGATATGAAATAAAGACATAAAGATCTGTTTTAAGAGGCGCCCGGGCTGCTATTTCCAGACCCTGCACACAAAGAGACCGAAGGTTGAGGCAGCCACACGGGGATGATTCTTCATGGCTTAAAGGGGCACTCCAGCAATTTATTATTGCACCTGAGGCACATGTGAGAGGCAGAATTTAACAAACGATCAAAAATAAAACTCTGAATATCCTGACCTTTAGTCCCCAGTAATGGTTAAACTCCCAAAACACTACATCATATATTTCCCATGATGCTGCCGGCAGGTGTTATTTATACATAGACAGTGGAGTGGACTAATGTGCTGCATAAAACATATAAGGAGCATTTTTGTACATTATTTGAGCTGTTTTGACTACTGGCCTACTCGTGTCTAAACTCCATCGTAGTCATTTTTATTTGTTAGCATTCTCGAGGTGGAGACGCGGCGCCTTTCATGTCCTCCTCAGACACATTGCTGGAGCACTGGGACAAACACCGGATGAGTGACTAAGAAAACAATTCCCCTGGTTACGCCTGTTGTCTCGCTCTTCCTCTCTTGCGCACTGTCCCTGTGTGTCTTCGGGGTTGAATCACATTTCTCTTGCTTCCCTCCAATGTGTCTCTGTCATATATAGGTGCATGGGCCCATGCACACAAACACACGCTCACTCCTCTGACACGCACACAGAGTCTGACAAATCCCCCTTCTGCCAAAAAGTCGATAAATAAATGCATTGTCTCTTCACTTTCTGCCGTTGGCATCAGCCTGTCTAAATTGTCTGAGAAGGCAGTGGAGTGTGAAATTGAGTTCAGAACTGAACGCCGTGTGAGGGGGCACAAGATGAGCGTATGTTTGCTTATTTATTCATATTGCAGCAGCGTTCAGTAGTGGTTTTGCAAGAAAGGGTCAGTTAAGCACGTTGAGGGTGCTGTTGGTGGAAATTTTTGTTTAAAGGAAGAGGCTTAGGTGGTGGCATTTTGTCCTTGCAAGGGGAGCAGTAGGTTATTCATCTAAGGGTAAATGAAGCTTTAAAGTGAAATTGTGCAGTTACCGTGACTCTGGTAAGTTTCTTATTTCTTCAGTCACTTGGTGCTGTGAACCAGGACGACTTCTTTTTGACATTCGCTATCATTGTTCTAAATGCCATCTATGATGAGGCTCAGTAGTTGCATACAAAGCAAAAAGGTAATTTTACTTGAAACACTAGGTAGAGATTGAATAACTTCACAGTGATTTGCTGTCTCCTATTTCTGAAAAGATAAATTTCTTTCCCAAAGCCAAAGAGTTCATGCACGAATAATAGCACCTGCCCACACTAATTTGCAAGAACAAATGGTTTTGCTTGAGAATGTAACTTTTGTGCCTCTTTCCCAAGATTTAATCAGAGGTATTACACAAACCTTCCCCTCCTCAGCTCTTTTCTTCCCATTCGGTGATGAATGTGTTGTTACCGGATGATGTATGTTTATAGATTGCCGAGGATAACTGCTGTTTTGAAGAGTTATAGCTTTCCCTCACATCACAGAAAGTGCCTCTGTGCAAAAATCATTCAGGGATTTCAGGTTTGCCTCTCAATTTCACTGAGCACAACACATGATAAATGTGCATTTGTTTAAAAAGAAAAAAACACATCCCTAAACTTTGCTCCCGGACTTTTTGACAAGGCTGTTTGAATGTCAGTCCCCATTACAGAGTCTGGCAGTCAGAGGAAAAATGATTCACATATTAATTTTTTTTTTAAGATTAGCTGCTGTGGTGTCCTTCGGTGTCACCAGGACTGGACAGTGTCCATCCTCCTGGACGTTTTTCATTCTAGAGTGACAGAAATTGTAAGAGCAGCATAAATCTAATCACTATCTTTGCATTCTCAGCATTATCTGTAAGACCTGTCGAAGAGGTCAGCTGATAGCAGAACTTCTGCAGAGCTTGTACACTCAGTTGGCAGTTTATTAGGTACACCTGGCTAAAGCTAATGCAGTGTAAAGCAGCAGCCCTGCAATTAACCCTATTCTAGAGGGTGATCATGTGCAGCTTCATGGGCATGGGGGGAGCAAGAAAATCTGACTGCCCACCCCTGGTGCCGCCCCTGCCAGATTCAAAATACGGTGTTTGTCAGGATTATTGAATGTAAAATTAAAAACAATAACAAATTGTTGCCTTCCATGCAGCTAATATTTTTCTGGTGCTTTATAATTGATATTGGTCAAATTAGTTTGATTTTATATCATGCATGCAGCAAAAATGGTATGAAAATAAATAACCACAAACACGACAAAAGCATATGAAATTTAAAGCTGCTCATTTGGAGAAAACAAACCGTATCTTAACATGTAGTCTCGCAGATGTGTTGAATGTGCTTCCCTCCTCTTCCAAATGTCAGTCAGTGCAATAGCGGGAAGCCAAGGCAGGAATGTGTATCAAAGCCACCCAGGCATCCTGTTGCATGCACACGATACAAACGAAACCAGGTCCCCTTGTTATCTGAATTCATCTATATACCCACTAAACCTAGACTGATCTGCTGTACTTTGAAAACTTTCTTTTCACATTGGCATGTGACTAAATACTACAGGTGTCTGTTCCTCAGCTTTCTTGGTAATATATTTTCATTTGCTATGTTGAACATGATGTAGCCTCTTAAATGATTAAATCACCACCACGGCTGTATCAAGTCTGACTATGTCGGAATGGAAAAAGATAACTCATTTTATGTTAATCACAGTACCTTAAGGACATATTGGCCTATTATCTACTTTTAGGCATCTGCACTAATTAACTGAGTGAATGCATAATTACTGTCAGAATAATTAACATGTTGTTTGGGCCTGTCTTTAATTTTCAAAGCACTGCTAACTTCTGTGGCCACCTGACATGCACACTAGCAAACAGGAGTTGTTTGCCCTTTTCTGAAATGCGAAGTTGTTGTAATGTGCTTAATGATGTAATTAGCTGTAGTCTGCATCCAGGGCGTTAATGCATGTGACTGTTGACGGTGAACGCAGGATATATTCATCCTGACTGCCTTGAGGCTTGCTTTTGAGGCATGATATAGAGTAGCTTGTACTTTGCTTGATCTTGGTCTGTTTACCAGACACACTTTGCTGTTAGTGTGAGAAAATGCCATCACTTTGCTGGAAAAGCCCCGCCTGCAAATGTCACACAGCCTCCACAACAATCGCCAGTGTTTACGTTAACCTTTAGTTGACTTGACTACACACTGTAAGTAGATTTAAGTTTGCGGAGTGTTACTGGGAATTTATCAGTACATTCTTGCCAGCCATTTACACTAAATTTAAAGTCTAGTCTGCTTTCTTTTTTTGTGTCTTTGAGTCTCTGAAAGCCGTCAGCTCTATAGACACCCGGCCATTATACTAGTGCCAGCCAGCAGGTCCCTTGAAGTTTGCTCGAATCAATATTTCAGTGCTGAATAGCAAGTTTGTTCGTAAACAAGAATAATTTTCCTTGACAACCTGAACAAGCGTAAAGCCAGTTAGAAGAGGTTTGCCCTCCTCAGAGCCCATTAAAAGGGTTTTAATGAGGGGAGAGTGGAAGGCAGCAGTAGACCCCCTACTAGCTTTTGATACAATGCGCTGTCACCTCATTAAATCCTGATGACATTCAGCGGTATTCCAAGACAGTCACGAGACCCGTGTGTGACTCCTGTGGACGCTTAGTTGTCACGGGGGGCACTGCCAGGGGGTATGAGGGTACCAGCTGGACTTGGTACCACAGCTTGGCCCTAGACGGTGATAATGACCTCCCTGTTTCTTGTTCACATCACATGCTTTGTCACTTTAAACTGCTCTGTAATGGCCTTTATGGGCTGCCATGAATTGTGCAATAAAGAGAGGCAGGAAGGCAACCCAAACAGAATAGTAAGCAAGCTGGGAAGTTGGCTAAAGAGGCCTGGTTGTGAGGTTGCTAATATGATGTGCCCCGCTCTTCTTGCTTATTGCAATGGGCCTCTGTTTTTTTTTTTTTTTTTAGAAGTTGAATTCTTTAACATTTTCTAGTCTGAAACGCATTCTGCTGCATGTGGCGCTAATGAACAAAAAAGCTTTTTAAATGTTGACAATCTGCAGAAGTTTAGGCACAAAAGAACTAATATTATTCTAAATGAGCATAACCTGCTTTTTTATTTTCCTTATTTTAAAAAAATCTGCCCAAAAAAAATTAGCTAACCTGCTATCACTTGCAAAACAGATGCTTTTCAGATTAGACAAGCACTGTACTATATTGTCATATCAAAGTGAAAACAGATCTGGAAATTAAAAGTTAAGTGTTTTGGCAAAACAAAGCAACAGTCCAGACACCTCAGCTCAGTTCAGCTTTATTTTATTTGTATGTGTAGTGCCAATTCACAGCAACATTCATCTCAGGGCACTGTACATAGTAAGGTCTAGCCTCCGACAGACGGTGGTGGAAAGTAACTAAGTACATTTACTCAAGTACTGTCCTTAAGTACAATTTTGAGGTATCTGTACTTTGAGTATTTTCATTTTTTTTGCTACTTTTACGTAGGTACTGCCTCCACCACTGCCGACAGACCGGGCTCTTGGTGGTTTGCCGTCTGCCTCGACCGGTTGCGGTGAGTGGATAGAGGAGAGAGAAAAGAAAAGCATCAGGACACGACAAACAAACAGTTACTGGACAGGTTAATGTGGCCGGTGACTGCTCATCAGAAACGCAGAGCTCTGGAGCCAGAAAGGTAAAGGGAGAGAGAGAGAGAGAGAGAGAGAGAGAGAGGACACACTATGGTGGAGAGGAGACGTACGTAGTTGGTCACATGTAATGGTGGCATATCAGTTCTAAAATGACAGGGATTGTTTAACTGTACAGAAATGCTGCAGAGGATCAGTTCTTTTTTATAATTGGCCAAAAGTAACTAATGACTAATTAAGAGCACTGTCAAACTTGTGCAGCTATCAACAAGCAAAAGTAGAGACAATCCTTGGCTTTAGTAAACAACACGGCAGCACTGTGGAGCTCATTTCTGATCTGAATCCAATTGTGATCATGTGACCTAAATATGAGACATGCGATCACAGATGGTCCCGTATGATCAGAAAAAGCTAGTTTGTGAAGACTTATTTTGCCAAACTATTACTTTTGAGGTCAAGATTGAATTTTCACCCTCAAATTAGTGATGCTTAATCATAGAACTAATAAGTTCCTGATAAGAAATTAGTGTTGTCCTTAATCCTGTACTCTGAAATACCAATTACAAGTAAATTCAACTTTGATTTTTTTTTCTTCACCCCAAATGTGACAGCAGGACTGAAGGACAAATTAAATACCAGTTTATCTTGCTTTCTGCTGAAATACATCATTTCCAGCTGAGACACATTTGATAAATTGCTGTCTGGAGACAAGAAAACATTTTAGTCTGCTAGCTTTGTCTCTACATTTTGTGAACAATATAATGTTGTTTTTGTTTGGAATATGTAAAGTGCCCCTGCTCCTCGAATTAAGAGCTTCTCGGCTGTAAGCGAAGCCGTTGCTGAAAACAAGCATGAGAAAATCATGTCACCCTTATGAACCTATATTGTTTTTCAATTTGAATTAGTGCCTAAATGAAGAATTTGGATACATGCACACAATCTCTTGGTTTATTGTCCCAGCCCTTTCTGCAGTTGGTGTTATTTTAATCACAGTGATGTGCGGTTTAAGCAGAGTAATGTAACTGCTAATTTTAACAGCTTTCATTTTTCATGTGACTCCAACAGGGGGTATACACATGAAGGCTGTATATTTTTATTTTTATTTTAAGATGCAATTTTTGTATTTGTGTGTGTTTGCTATTCAGGGTCTTGACACACTCGAGGCTTAGCAGCAGCCTACTTTAGATATGTTAGAAATGAAATGTAATCTGTCACTGTCACACTGTGAGCTTTTCACTACAGGAATAATGTATCAGGTCTGTTTGTAGTTTTACACGGCCCCAGGTTGTATACATGAAGATATCATAATGAGATATTGAGCTACAGCTGATGGAAAAAGTAATGGAAACACAAGGCAATATACTGTATGAATATTATTTACCTAGCAAGAAACAGGGCCACCCTTTGGCCCCAGAGCAGCTTTATTCTTCCTTGTAATTTTGTACAAGTGTTGAACTGTGTGTAGTGGGATGTTGAAGCATCCCTCAGGAAGAAAAAACCTCCAGTTCTTTGAGTGATGAAGGAGCTGGAAATCTGCACTACAGAAATTCCCATAAAGGATTATACCGGTGTGATTGGAGTGTTGGCTTATTTCCTGCCTTCCTGCACATTTAAAAAAAATCTTTTATCATGTTATACTCTCTCTTCCTGGTTCAGATTTTTTTTTCTTAAGTAAAAAAAGTTATTGGAGAATAGTTTTGAAAAGGAAACCAGTTGATACCAACTGAAATCTAGTTTTAGTTTTATCTCTTATGGGCTGTAGCTAATGAAGTGGGTCTATTTCTAATAGGGATGTGTAGTGAGCCCTGTATCTGTATTAGGGCAGCAAAATTATTTGCATGTAGAAACGGGCATGACAATCTTGTTTTTGTTTTTATAACACCTCTAATTTTAGGAGACTAAAATGTTAATATAAGGCTGCGTTACAGGGCTAACAGGCGAATGCCAGCCAAATTTCATCCTGGTCAAACAAACCCCACTGTATCTGTGTCTTCTAAGTTGAAATAGCAGCACAGGAGCTTTGCTCAGATAGCTATAAATAATGCTCTGTTTCTCCAGTGTGATACCTACAACCATGTGACACAGGCTGACTGAGCAGTGAGCAGTGTAAACTAGCTAGTAACTACACTGCCTGAGCAGCTTCACACACTGCAGGTCCAACAGGAAAACAAAAGAAAAGTAACCTTATAATAAACTCCCTCAGCAAACCAGTTAAGGTAAAAAATAATCAATGAAGACAAAATACTGGCGTAGCAATGTACTATATTTTAATCAGGCTGCGTAGCTCCACTCTCTTACTGTCTACGTCAGCACAAACACCCGCTTTGACTTTTTCTTTTTTCTTCCTGAAAACAAGTCATTTTAAAAACATTTGCTCAAAATAAATATTTGTGAAAGCTGCCTATTTGTGCTTTTTTTGGAATACAGCTCTAGTTTAGAAGCTTTACACGGTATAAGATTGAATTGAATGAGAAAACTCTGCGCACACTGTCCTTCAGCCTGGACATTAACGTTCTTTAAAGATGTGAAAGTTAAATAATCATTTTTTAACATAAGTAACTAGATTACCTTTGCTACTGTAACTGAGTGGATGGGAAAACAGTACATCCCAGTAATAACCTCAATGCTAGAGGAGGTCCCATATACAGTACGTTGTAGTAGAGAAACTGAAAAGGATGACGTTCCACAGCAAAGGCAGTCTTTGCCCTTTCTTCCCTTCCCTTCACTTGCAAACATTGTAAAGCACTGTGGTATCGTGGGTAAAGGTGAAATGTTCCTGCAGAGAAGTCTGTTGAATACTATTACATGGCACATGTTCTATGACAGTTTGCGCGTTGCTGCTCTTGAACTGGTGTCAGTCTGACCTTCACTTTTCAGTTTTATTCAGATAGTGTACTGTTGTCCTGCAGAGGGTTTTTAAACTGCAGGGTGGTCTGAGAACAGATAAGGGCTGCAAGGCAAAGGCAGAGCGTGGCAGCGGGCCAGCAGAGAAAGCAAAGCAAGGCAAATTTATTTGTACCGCATCTCTCAAACACACAGGCAGTTTGAAGGGCTTTACCCAGGGTGAAGAGACTGAGGCTGCACGTCAGACACATTTACATCATATTGATGTTTTATTTTTATTTATCCTTCATTTAACCAGGTGAAAGCAAAGTCACAGTTACAACAGTAGACATAAACAATACAAATTAACAAATACAAGTGACTCGCACTACAGTAAACGCAACATCCAGTTATGTTGTGTTATCTAGTTATGTTATAAAATCAAGGTCAATACAGTTTAGATGCATAAGTACAACTTTAAAACAATCAGACTGACCAAGAGTGATGGACCATGGTCCTTTTGTACATTATTCCAGGAAGAAGGGGCAGCGTTATGTAGCATGTGTTCTATACAGTATGCCTAGTGTAGTAATGCTAAACATTAAAGAAAGACTATTAAAGCAACAGAACTCAAAGATGAGAATAGCAAGAGGCCTGCAAGCTAATCTGTTATCAAGAGGTAGCAGGTAATGAGTCAATATTACAAATTTGTGCCCCTCTAAACCTGCATTAACACATTTTTTGGACACTTGGGAAGCAGAAACAAACTGCTATGACAAACTTGTTAGCAAACAGCCTATTTACATCTTCAGCAGACATGGAGAGATGTTCTCATTTATTCAGAGTTGTGTTTTTGTCTACATGATGAATGTAAGTCCAGTTTTCACTCCTTTCAGCTCTTGTCTCTAACAACTCCTGATGAAAATACTGTATCTGGCTCTTTTTACCCTAAGTCCTCCACTATGTAGCAGTGAGTTACTAACTTTTCAGTCTGCTATAGATTTTTTTTTTATTTTTTTAAGAAACAGCTGCTTTTTGAAACATTGGCTAGCATTGTTGAATTTCATAGTCTGAAATCAAAACAGTGAGCTGAAAGCCACAAAAATGAGACTGTAGAGGCAAGTGATAATTCTCTGTGGGTTTTTGTAATTGTGTAATCTAATTTGAATTGTTATATATCTTGTATATAGTATACTGTATTATATATGCATCTACTGTGTATATATATCTTTTACACACTGATCAGCCATAATATTATGACGACCTGCTTAATACTGTCAGTCCATGTGGCAGTTGGTTGGTATAGTAAGTGGAGTCTGCAGCTCCCTGTGCATCTTCTGTGAATCTGTTTACTACCATAGTTCTACTGTCAGGAACAGCACAGATTTGTGTACCACTGAGTGATAAAAATATATAAAAGAGGTGAAAACTGTGCTTGTGTGAACGAGTTAGAGGGATTGTTTTTGACCAACTCAGCAGCCTCCCCACTCTAGGTGTGATATCACCACTATAGCTGCTGAATGTTCCTCTTCATAGAGACCAATGTACAGTATTTCTCATTTTCAGCCATTTGACCATAAATTCAAACTAATTTTAGTCATTTGAAAATAATGAATGAGATTTAAAAATTTAATCTACTGTAGGTCAACCTCGTCCTCCGTGAGCCTTGGGCATCCATGACCCTGTCACCGGTTCACTGCTTGTCCTGCCTTAGACACTGTTGGTAGGTACTGACCACTGCAGACCAGGAACACACAACCTACAGTCTGGGACATGCTCAGACCCAGTCATCGGCCATCACGGTCTGGCTCAGTCACTCAGATCCTTACACTTGCCCATTTTCCCTGCTTCCAACACATTATACCCCACACACTGACAGGTGCCACTGTAATGAGAGAATCGGTGTGATTTCCCCTGTCAGTGGTCAAAGTTATGGCTGACCAGTGTATATAAATCACTGATTGTAGCCACTTTGACAGACTTTAAAGTTGTTGCAAGTGATATAGTTTAAGCTCATAGACTAACTTTGCTACTTATTTGCCTCTCTTTTTCTGCTCTTTAAAAGTTAATACATAGCCTAAACTGACATTTAACAAAATGTCATTCACATGTGTAGCAGTCTTCAAAATTGCAATTAACTTAATTAAATGTCCATTAACACAGTTTTGTTATTTTGTCCTTTATGCATAACAGTTGTGAATTTGTTTATTAGCTCAGTTTATAA